GAATTTAAATTCCCTAAGAGCAAACCAGCTTTCATGACCAAGCAATCCACGGTTGCACTTGCTCCTCATGCCAGCTCTCAACCCGCTTACACGGCCGATGCAGAAGGATTACAACTGTATCGGGGTCTACGAGATTGAGGTACTAATAACTACAATACCAAGAACAATGAAAATAACAACAATAATTGAACATAGCTAGCTCTATTGTTCGGGGTGTGAAGGGTCTGGCCCGCCTAGTCTCATGCAACATCCACCCAAATTATGGATATCCTCCAAGATCTAGCCTAGTCTGGCCTTTCCGAATAGAATCTGACAGCCCGGAGTCCGTACTGACATATTCTGCATGTCTCAGGACTTCTGTTTCCATATGCAATCGATCGCAAGCTCAAGCAGCCTTTGCCGCAAGCGCTGCTGCTGCTCCTCGACCTGGCGCTCGTCAGCTTAAGCTGGCTAGCAATTTAGCTTTGTGTGCCCTCACCCAACGAAAGGCTGACATCAACAGCACTGACATTTTTGGTTGCAAAACAGTTTGGCGGGGCTTGGCACAGCGCCAAAACAATGAAGCCCCCCAAGCTACAAGTAGAGTATCAAGCAAGGCTGGCCCATTGGGAAACACACATATAGGTGTATATATATATATATACATACATGTAAATCTGTACACATTTGTGAATACGGATCTTCATGCGCATGCATGATGCAGATATTAATCACAACATGGACCTCAGTATAGGAAACCAACCTGATGCCTTCGTCGTGCTCATGGTGAAAACAACCCCCACCCGAATTTTAGATATTCCCAATCAGAGACCTCATGTACTGCGGGAGATATTCAATAGTGGGGGTGGGGGGTTGCTTCATGAAGAAGGTGCCTATGCAACTTGAGACCTGCATTCGCTCAAAGCAGCACGCCTCTTTTTGCAGCAGTCTGTGCGAGCCCGATTGCTCACGTACCCATCGCGTACCACTGCACTGTACAACTTGTAATGCTCGTGGTGCTTTGTCCTACTTTCAGACACAACGTCTGGGTCTGCGCGACCCCATCTTCTTCCATGAAACTAATGCCATACATACAGCAGCAGATGACTGCTGTTTGTTGTGTGTCGTCCATGGTCGTGGTCGTGATGGTGGCGGCCATGGTGGTCGTCGCGTTGCTGTCCATGGTGGTTGTAGCATTTGCAGTAGGCTCGACAGTAGCTTCTTTCTTCACAGTACGAGTCTACTCAGCATACGCGCCATACGCCCAAGGACAAAGAACCAGCAAATCGCGGCAAGGCCGGAGTGGAGACGGATCTTGCCGGTAAATATAATCTTTGTTGCCTAGAGGATTGAGATACTCGCGAAGGATTGTCTCTGCCCCTCGAATGTCTTCCTCTGAGAAGCCTGTTTGTTGTAATTCTGCGACAGAAACGCCCAAAGCGTATTGTAGTGTGCAGTCGAGTCTAAAGACGGAGCGTAGCTCAGTGCCAGAATATCCCACGGAAACTGCGTGTGGAATCCAATTCCTGCCGCTACCAGGTTACGAACATCAACTTTGTAAGCCCGCATCATGCGGATCCAAGAATACTTGCAGCAATCATCTTTTACCGCCACCTCAACAAAGACGTTAGGTTCGACATCACGAATGTCACGTAGCCAATTCACAAGTGGCATGAACACGTCAGGCGAGTAGTCCACGAAGATGTTCCCATTTGCATCGTGCAGTGCCTCGCTGCGCCCTGACAGCTGCGAAGACATATTGGGGTTATATTAGGATACTGGAAAATAAAATGGAAACTACTATATTATGTTGGGGTTATGTTGGGAAATGGAAAACAAAATGGAAACAGTTGGTTCTCACCAAGAATGTCGAACAAGTCTGGAGACACATCAATGAGCTTTTCTCCCCCGATGTTCAGCGTGATGGCTTGCCTCTGCACACGTCGACGCTTGCCAACGTGGAATGCCATGGCGGCTGGCAAATATGCTCAAGCACTCCCAGATCTCCGGCTTAATATTGGCCAAAGACTCAAAGAGTGTCAACTATTTTATGTCGTTGCACGAAGTTGTCTTCACGCCTAAAGTGTTGCAATCGAGTTTGAGGGCTGGTTTCCGGACATTAGATGAGCGTGGGCATTTGGCTCACTGTTATGCATTTGCACGTTTTCTGTGAAATGGGAAATCCCCCCAACTCAAGTCCTCATGAAACATTGAGCGTCCAACTTTGAATGTTTTCGCGTTAAGTATCGCGCTACAACAGTGTGCACGGTAAACACGTATTCTATGTCCCTTGACTGTGAAAGTTCGCAACGCTAGATTTCTGCGGAAACTGGCCCGGCAAGCAAAAGGCTTCAAGCAAACAACGCGGTAGCGGCAAGCAGCAAGCTTTCGCAAAGACCTAGGGATCCAAATAGCCCAATATAAGTAATATCTACAGGCTTTAGGGCACAACGTAAGCATTATACTCTCCCAAACTAACATGGAAACCCACAGGGTCCCCTTTTAGAGGGACTGTAGTCTTCATATGGCCCTCCTTTCTGGGTTTCCATGTAAGTTTCCGGGAGTGTATTTGTATAGTTGGATCCCTATTTAGTATATAGTCCCCCTTAAGTAGATAGAATATGGCTTTGGGTATCCTATAATAAGGTCCCCATATACCCCATATTCTATCTACTTAAGGGGAACTATAAACCCTAAACCCCAAATAGTAGTTTCCATTTTCTTTTCCATTATCCCAATATATCCCCATATTCTATCTACTTAAATGGGACTATATCCCTATATAACTCTATATAACCCCAATATACTACAGTATAGTTGGATCCCTAGGGATGGTGCTTGGTGCTTGCACAGCTTATGGCCTCCTCGTAGAGTTTTTCTCTTTCCTGCAGTCAAGGCAAGATAAGAACCAAACCCTTGCCACAAAAGCCTTGATTTGGATGTTCCCTACAGTTTAGGATGCTAATTACTGCAAAATCCAAAACTCAACCCTAGACTAAGAAGATGGAACACCAAGTGTGCGTGCATGCCCTTGCAAGCCAGAGAAGATTGTCACACAGCTGCCTTCTGAGCCAAAAACTCGGCTTCCAAAAGGTCCACCAAAAGCCTCAGGGCCAAATTGGCAGCCGGCAAGTCGGCAAACTCCATCAGGTCTCTCAAATTTGTTGCCCAAAGGGCCAATGTAGTTGTATGACATGCAATTACAAAGGGCCCAAACAGGTTCCGATGTAACTACTGTAGAGCCCAGGTACAGTAATAAAACTGCATGGACTCCTTGGGTAGCGCTTTGGTCATGAGCTATAAATGCATCGAGTCTGTGCATGTTCAGCTTCATCACCGCTATTTTGCTTACTGGCTCTTAGTAAGGAATGTGGGCTTCTAACCCCTATATAACCCCATATACTTTATTCCCACCCTAAACCCTAAACCCTAAACTATATTCCCTACTAAGAACCAGCGAGTTGAAAGGAACAGAAGGAGAAGCAGTGCTGAAGAGGCTGCGACAGGTTCATGCTGAGAGCTTCACCTCTCTTGTGTCAAAGCCACCTTCACTTCGGCAAGCAGAAACCTATAGGATTATGTAGGGATACTGTCTGTATATATATATATTATATGGGGGTGATATAGGCTTATATGGGGTTCTATAGGGATATATAGGGGTTATGTAGGGGTAGGTAGAGAGCAGCCCAGAACTTTGCAATTACACAGCCGAAAAGTAGGGCTGGAGCTGTAGCTGCAATGGACAGGTGTTCTGCCGGAGCCCTCCTATGAAAGCTTCTTTTAGAAACAGTTCGTATGAGGGTTTCCCAATATTAGGGGTTCCTTCTGGGGGTACCTATGATAGGAGTATAGTATATTGGGATCCATATTTTGGGGTCCCCCTATTTAAGGAACCTACCATATGAAACCCCAAAACAAGGACGTCCGTGAGCCTTCTCTAACCCCCACAGGACATACCTCTAGAGTCCCTAAAGGCTCCGTATTCCGAGAAACTTCAATCTAGCCCAAGGTGTCCAAGTCTCATCTAGCTCCTCTTTGCATCTGCCACAACTGTTCCCACCAAGAGATCGCAAATGAATGAAGTAGCTCATCCTTTGCTGCTGGGTCCAGAGTAGCCAGGCTTGATGTGAAGCAGTCTTCAGCAAGAAAGTGCTGGGTTGGCCCCTAAAACCCTTTCAAAAATATTATATAGGGTCCCTTATTAAAGCTATTAAGGAAAACATTAAATATCCCAGGGGCCTACCCAGAGTAACAGTTTTAAGCTTGAAGCAGGCTGAAAGGAGCTGTAGTCTACACTCCTAGTATCCCCCTTGAGAACCCCTATCATAGTCCTCTATATGATCCCCTATATGTACCTATATATATATATATACCCCTCTAAGGAGTTTAGACTACAGCTCAAGAGTTCAGCTTACGACATCAAGCCATAACCCAGGCTGTTTAAAGAGAGTTGTCGCTGTTCCCCAGTCTTTTGTACAGTTGTCTCTCGTGGCCCCTCAAAATTCTGAGAGGCAGGACATCATTGACGCATCTGCAAGTGCAGAGGTGAGGATTGATTTTTGGTGGTTGGGCCCAGTAAGATTCTCGAAAAATGTTCGATTCCAAAGCTGTGCAAGGATGTGGACTATGGCATTCAAATTTTCGAGAAAAACACATAAACCTTCAACCCTAACCTATACCATAGTATCCCTACCCAAAGCAATATTTAGGTAGACTCATGCAGTATCTCCTGCGCATGGCTTCCGTCTATGTGCATGTGGGATTTTGAACAGACCCTACAGCTTTAGAGTTCGGCGTTTCCGGTTCAGGGAAGTTTGTCAAGGCATGCTATTCCAAAAAAGACATGGGGATTACAAAGGGAGTGTGGGGGTCACAACTATGGATTCCATAGTTGCTAAAGTTTAACACACTGTGCGGAAAGAATTGCTTCACCCTAGCCACATCTACAAGACACCTCTTGCGAAGCTCTTGCTGATATGCCATCGGTTCGTTTGAGAAACAAGAACTCACAAACGGAGCGATCATTTCTCGGCCACTAGCTCTGCAATAAAGTCGGAGATGTCGATCACTGTGGCCTTCCATCCCGATAAGCGGCTCCAACAGACAACCAATACCATGATAACATCTGCCTAAGGTACCCTGTACTACAGTTCTGCAAGTAATCTAGGACTTAGGACCATAGTATAAGCAATTGTTCAGTCCCTGTCCTGGTCATCTCCTTTAAGCAAGTCCGTGGTGAGCGGGATGGAGTTCGTGGTGTAGAACCCTCAGTGTGAGACCGGGTGCGATCACTGCAAGAGGGGGCTTCCCTTTCTTGCGGGATACCTAGGGCATGGATTATAACATGTTGGGGTGTACCTACAATCTGTATTCCTTCTTGGGAAGTACCTACACCGTGGGTTCTAGTTTGCTGGGGCATGTAGTATGGTGCGGTACCTACAATATGTATTTGGTATGTTGGGGGACGTAAGAGAGCCCTCTTCAAGGAAACTCCCAGGTCTCCGTGATGCCATCTGCTTACCCTGACTGCCCTGCGAAGCTGTACAGAGGGGAGCTGGTCGAGAAGCTGCTGTCCAGAATAGGTCACCTGTACTGAATGCTTTTCTTGTGAAAAATGCGGATCCCTTCCTGGGAGCCCCAATAGGAAACTTTCTATTACTTTAAGCAGCAGACAGGAGGAACTTCATGAGTTCTCACATGCCGCCAAGTTGCGGCATTGCTTGCCAAGCTTGTGAAGCTTGTCCTTCAGCCCCTCGACAACCTGCTGTCGGACATGTAGGTATTGCAAGACACCCATGTCAAGTATGCTGGTCCTCAACCTCATAAATCGCCCACCCCCTAAGAGTACACATGTCCAATATAATATCATCCAATGTTAGTGCAAATGTAAATTGTGTTGTTGCCAGGGGGCCTTGCTATCTGCAGGAGAAGGTGATTCTAAGGCTCTACAAGGCCTAGCCTGATCACAGCTTGCGTGTCTCATACCCACAGTGGATGGAGGAAATCTTGCACCACGTGGGATCCCCAGCAATCTGCAATTCCTAGGGCATTTGGGTACATAAGGTGGTGCATGATTTCCATCCAACCGCAGTAGGTCTGGACAGGTGCAGGAGTCAATTAGAAACTTGGGATTTACACGAATGTGTAGGGATTAAGGGCTTAGTCCTTATATCCCAAATATCCGAATTTTAACTGGTACTTATATAAGCCAATTAGCAACAAATTACGGGGCTTGGGGGTTGATTGGTTTCTAGGTACCATTGAAAAGGGGCTAAACTCATCCTAAACCTCCACGCCTGAAGTACCACGGGCCAGAATGCCTTCAGTCAAAAAGGTCCACTGTGAGGAGCCTCGAAAGTTTGCCTGACCCTGCCTCAACCCTATTGTATAGGGGGGTTATAAGGATTATATACGGGTTGTTTTAGGAGACTGGAAAAGAAAATGGAACCTACTACAATGGGGATATCCCTAAACCCTAAACTCTAAACCCTAAACTCTAAACCCTGAACCCTGAACCCTAAACTCTAAACCCTGACCCTGAAACCCTGAACTCTACACCCCAAACCCTAAACACTTTGCTTTATAAGCCGCTTGGCCTTTGGATCGTAGGTTGCCACGAGGTGGGACACAAAAATTGACACATTGATCTCCTTGCCGCCCGCGTACTTCTTGACTAACCTGCTTAGGGTTTAGGGAGAAGGGTTCAGGGTTTAGTAAGGGTGTAGGGTTTAGGGCTGACAGCAAGACAGCTTTGCTTCCCAGACATGGCTAACTCCCAAAATTAAAGTCCAATTTCAGTACCCCGAAAGATTAGGTGCCGCAAAATAATCTGTATCCAAAAGGGGCCCATAATTTGAGACCAACCCACATGTCATAGACGTAGATCTTTCACAAGGAGGCTGCAACAGCAACGACATCTGGAGCAGATGTGGCATGAGGGTTCGAAGCTGGCCATTTAGGAACGTCTTGAAATTGGGATAGTTACTTTGGGGCGGATATAGGGAACACAGAAATTCTGGGGAATTCACAGAGATCGGAGTCCTTGCTAGGGATCTTCTAGGAGTCATGAGGAGAACTCCAGAGAGGACCAGCTTGCCAAGGTGCTCAACCGCACCGAAGAGAGTGCTGCCTGAGTTGGTAAAGTCATCAATGATCAGGATGTGGTCCTTCAACAGGGAGCGCAGCAACACTTACACTGCTCCAGGCTACGAGCTTGTCCTGGCGCAAATTAAGACCTTTCTCAGCTGTCGCTCCAAATCCGTGTCCCGTGGCTCAAAATCTCGTAGGTTTAAAGCCGACGAACCCTGCTGCACGAGCAAAAAGACATCGACCCGGTCCTTGTCAGGATTAAACTGGCTAGTCTTCTCATACTCGGTCCTGCAGAACACAGAGGAGGAGCTGACAGGTGAAACTAGATTGAGGGCTGCTATCTTGCTTTGAGAAGCTCAACGAAACCCATGCAGAGGTCAGCAAAGTCCTGTTCTGGTCATAGAAGAGCTTCTGTTCCTGTCCTATGGACTCGCCAACCCGCGTCTTCTTGATGTACCTCTGGAGATCGTTGCGACACATGGCGCACGGCCAAACCATCTCTAACGAGGGTCCCCGCATTCAGTTACTCCTTCTACTGTATCCTGACCCAGAAGATTGGTTTGCAGCAGGAATTAAAATTATGTGCCATATAGATATCGATAGATAGATAGATAGATAGATAGATAGAGAGATAGATAGATAGATAGATAGATAGATAGATAGAGAGAGAGAGAGAGAGGTAGATAGATAGATAGATAGATAGACTGTCGCTAGCGGCTGCTCTGGGTGCAATATGTGGTCCAGGTCGAGGATGAGCTCCTGCTCCACAGCTTCCGCGTAGCGATCGTACGCGCCATGGTCAGGGAAGAGAATGTAGACATTGTTCTTGCCTGCCGAGCAAAAGCTTTAGAAAAAACCGACTGAGTTCGGTCTCATGTCACCACATGGCCATTTGCGTCCCCTGCCCTTATGCAAGACCCCGCAGAAAGCTGGACGACAGAAACAAATCTGCGCAAATAATTACAGCGCAGTAATCAAACAACCGCACCGGCCAACATCTGAACACTTTGGGTACTGTACTGCCCCCACCCAGTAACAGTGCATAATAGGGCACTGTAAACATTAAAGGCTTCCCATAACAATTTTCCCCTGATTCCCTATAACTCTTACTGGGCGGAGCAATGCCTAAAGAATACTCCTGATGGCCCAGCCTGGATATGTGGGCTTGGCTTTGTATTTCTTCAGGAAGTAAGGAACAAATCGTTCCATCCTGCAGGCAAGAGGGCATTTCGGCATTCAAGGCACAGAGCTTCATAGATATCCCATTTTACCCCGCGTCACGCCCGGGCCCATGCTTGGAGGGTTGGGGGGACGTTCTAAGTAGGTTCAGACGTTTAAGAATAGGGATAAGTGCGGATATTATCTGGCTTACGGGGAGTATAATTGTACTTACTGAGCCCCGCTGACCCTCCAAGTACTTACAGGCGCGGCATACAACTTAGTTGGATTCACTGGATCAAGGTGGTCTGATTTCATCCATGTCTACAGGCGTTTTTTCCCATTGCAAAGGGCCGTCACCATGGTCAGCTCTTTCTCAAAATAGTCGCATGTATTATGGAGACTTTATCGCCTCGGGAAAGAAACACCCACTTGCTAATTGTCATCCTTCGTAGTCCATGTATCATCTGCCATTTGGTAGCCGAGATGACCCGAAACTTAGTGTAATCAAAAGTATAGAACTACACCTGGTCCTCAACTTTGCGCCCATCTATCTTCCCGAAACAACCCCGACAAACAAGCACCAACAGCCTGATGGTAGCACCCAGGTCGCTGACGGACCGCGCCACTGGGGCTTCCTGCCACTGGCGAACTGGGGGGTCCATTGAAAGAATTGGAACCATAGCTTCTTGGCAAAGATATTGGCGTATGTAGCTAGGTGTACTATCTGCTAAACATTTTCTAGACCAACAAAACACCACGAAGCTCCAATTCAGTTCGTTTGTGCGCTTGTTCGAGCACCCTGCCAGCGGGTTTCTACTGGATTGAACATTCTGAATCCGTGATGTCAGGACATATGAAAATATGGGCACTTCCAAGATTCCACCAAAAACGCCAACCAGCTGCGGGTTACTCGCACTCAGCCCAAAAGGAGACCATGAGTCCGATCAAACACATAGGGCTTGTGGTGCTCTAGGGGGCTAACTAGTTACCAATGCGAATTTGAGGTCTTTAGTCTTTCAAGTACCCTATATCGAGACTGTACAAGGTTTTTGGGACCACAATATTTGCAATCTTCAGGCTTGCGCATCAGGCAACGCAGGCTCCTCATGAAGCTCCACAAACAGGAGCTCAAGCGGCGGGCGCCTTGGCGACATTTCCATCAGCCCTGGCAATACACGCAACCCCCTCAGCAATATAGGGATTCTATCAGGGGAGGGTCAAGGATGTTACCCCAATAGTGGAGAGTTAAATGGACAGACTCTGGAACATGAAATGGAGGCCGGGCTTTTATATATTTATATATACACACTATTATTCTTATGTATATCGATTCGGGAATCTCTCAAGCTGGAGGGTTCCTCCGTCCGGATTGTATAAGGAATACTTTGAGAAACTCCCATTTAATGGCAACCCAACTAAGGGGACATGGTCCTCTGTCAAGTTCGAAGCCGCAGTATCCTAAACCCTAAACCCTCAGGCAGGTAGGTCCAACAGGTTCCATGACTTCCCAAAGCACGAACATACACTTCCCGCTAGGTAGACAAATCATGAGGTGCATGGGGATCTTATTATGCTATTGGGAAATTCCACATTATATCTACATAAGGGGGGCCTATAATTCTTTTCCTGTCGGCCTTCTTGTTGCTACCTGTCAAACCCAGACCCCCCAAAGGATCCAAAAAATGGAACCCCCCCCCAAAAAAATGGCTCCATTACCACATTGGGGAACCTTGGGGATTATTAAAGGGGTTCCATTTTTTGGATTTCTTCGGGGGTCTGGGAACGTCTCCATTGAATGCAGTGCAAGACTGAGCCTAGGGTGCTGGCCACAGCGGGTTCAGCGGCCTCAGCATGGGAGCTTTGGGGAAAGTGGACCCAGGTGCTTCCTGTGAGCCACAACTCCAAAGTGCAGCCTCAATGTGTTTGCTCAGGGTAGTTCGTGAACTGCCTAGGGTCTACCGCGAACTTCAACCTGACATGCCGGTTCACCTCCTTTATGATCTCCAGAGTGAACTTGATGACATCCAGCCATAACTCCTGTATAGCACTATATGACCCTGTAATACCAATTTCTTGAAAATCAGAAGTTTGTGGAGCCCGAGCTGCATTCCATCCATGGAGCTGTTCGGCCCCGGAAGTGGCGGGACAGAGCCCGGGGTTGCAAGGAGACGTGCCATGTACCTTTTCTGGGTTGCTGGAAGGAACTTGATGCAGGGATTGTATAAGGATTTTAAAGGGATAATAATAGGGATAATGCAAACCGACATGGAAACTACTACTTAGGGTTTACGGCATAGGGATCTGGGTTGCTGTTAAGGAACTTAACTAAAGTTACTGTTTTAATGTGAGAAACATATTACTTACTACATACATAACCATTGTGGTAACTCACTTTAACTTCCTTAACAGAACAGCAACCCAGCTTACCAGATGCAGGGTTGCTCAATATGAATATCATGACTCCGAAACTTGGGGTACCCTAGGATCAGGGTCGGACAGAATCCCTATGCTTTGTGTTCAGTCTTGGAGCGGAAAGACACTGAGCTGTCTGGTTCTGTATCAAGCAAGTACGACTTTCTGTTGGAAGCCGGTTGGTTGGCAGTGTGTCGCGGCGACGCTGCCGCCCACTTGCGGAATCAACACGTAACTAGGAAGACCAAGTTTAGGGTTGATTTGGGGGTCCTGTGAAAAAGTAAATGGTTACGGCTTTATAAGGAATAGAGATATATATATATGTATATACATTTATAGACATATTTGGATTTGCATGGGCTAATAAAACTTGAAAACTGTTTTCCCATCAACCCCTGAAGCAGGAAAAGTCCATCTTTGCTCCAAGGGACAGGGCATTGGGCACATCCAGCCAGGCTCCCTGAGGGCAAGCCATGATAAGCCCAAGTAGCATGGGACGAGTACGAGTCTCATTTTTTGGGTACTCCCCCCACCCAGTAAGAGTCTACAAGAGGGGAATACTAAAACCTGTGTATGATCATATTTTCAATATTTTCCAGCTATTGTTAAGTAGAGGCAGTTCCCAAGTCATTGCTCGCTGCTCTCCATCAGGAGTATGGGCACAAGCACTTCTTCCCCTTCTAGATAACAGTAGGTATACTATCATTACTATTATTGCCGTTTTTTTTTTTTACTATCATTATCATTACTACTATAACCCTTATTATTCCCCCTATTCCCCTTATTGCCGTAATCATAATGATCATGGTTTAGGGTTGGGGGTGACGCCTCCGGGTTGCTGTTGACCCACTTCCCACTCTCATCGAGGTGCCATCTGCTGGTTCTCTCCATCCTGAGCTGTGAACTTGTCTGACACACACTGGCCCTGGGGCCTTTACCAAGGACGACACTTGAAAACACAGTACTACAAGCGGAGCGCAAGCTCCTGTAGGGGCCTATTCAAACAGAATGTGGTCTGCTGGGGTGTTAAGCTATACGTCCATCAGGGGCAGAAAGGCTATAACAATGAGCTCTTGAAGCTTCTACATCAACCGTAGTCTTTCTCGCCCAGTGGCTGGCATGGTCTGTACCACCTTGGCAGTACCCCAGTGCAACGACGCTGCATGGCCACAGAATCCCTGTTTCACTCAGCTTCAATTGAAAACAGTGCGTCTGCGGCACGGGATCACCACTGTGATTTGAGATGCTCTGCCCCAGGAATAAGCACCAGCGTTCACCTGGATGAATATGGCTCGGGGTTTTTATGCCTTCCACTGGCCTATCCTGAAAGCTTCGTGCTACAGACCTTAAGCATTCCTCTTGCCGTGCTGGTGCTGAAGGGGGAGGGGGGGAGTGAATGTTAGGACTATTATAGTGGTATGTATATACATATATATAGTAGTTTCCCAAAACAAGGGGACCCCAATATAGACCCCAAAATACTATAATCGTTATTATTGGGACCTTAGAATAGTATCCCCAATTTTGGGAAACCCCCATATGGATTATATAGGGATTATTACGAGGCTCAACTCCCCCCTTCTCCCTTAGGCACCGGTAAGTTGCTCCTGGCACTGAGGTCTCGACATATGTTTTCCACTTGGTTTGTTTGTCCTCGCCATCTGGCACTGCAAAGCCCTGGAGAGCCTGATCCACACATATGCGCAGCTTTCTCTGAGTATACGTTAATATACTATAGTATACTACAATAGCACAAAATTCCTTTTAATACTATGATATTCTATAATGCACTACAATGTACTACAAGCAACTATTCCCTAAATCACCGCACATCATATTTCTGAGCTTGCGGAGGAGTTTGAGAATGGCCCTACAACTCAGTCTGCAATCTGGGGGAGGAATCCCGGAAGAGGTGATTCCAACCTTCAATCCGTCTCAGTTCAGCAGAATACCTGGAACACAATTCGCAGTCTGAGCAACAACTCACATACTTCTAGGATCTTCTAGGGATGTAATCTCAAACCCAGCTGAGTTTTGGTTTTTATTCTTTGG